GAATTAGTTTCCAAAACTACCAATCCCGGAATGCACGGCGCGAGGGCCGGTCGGGCCGCGAGGTCTTCTGGGTAGTGTGGTTCGCCGTCTGTGAAAGAAACTATTACCTAAGTGTTGTCTTCCCATCTACAAAGTTCTGCGGTGCAGTCTTTCTGGAGTCTTCTTGTAGATACTGCAGTTTAACCGCAGTCCTAGCGGGCAGCTTACAGCGAGGGAATTTTTACGGTAACAAATAATGTACTGTTTTTGAAAATTTGTTTTTTATAAAAATTATGAGAGACATTATTGCCTCTGTTTTACTAAAGACTAGTTAACTTGAGTAGCATAGTATTTCACAATGAAAGTAGTACAGTTTTCACGGTAGAACTACTCCAATCGAAGGAAGGTATCTTAGCAACCTTCGGCCCTCGGTGGGTGAATTCCTTAATACTCCCCAAACCGCCCCCCCCCCCCAACACACACACAATAAATACTAAGCCAACATTCCAAAGACTTCCCTGGAAGAACTTTCTCCTAAACTGGCTTACTGTTTACTCAACATTCCGACTGGGGCCTTGGCTTCCTGTTTTCTTGTTCTTCAGGATCTGCCTGCCTGGGCTACTTGTCAATTTCTTCCTTTAGGTTCTCCATACATCAGTCCGTTGAATTTTTCTTCTGGTCACATACCTACTTCCTTTATCTTCGGTTCAAATGGCACCATCAGCACCGGCCAAAACAAAATGAAAATTGTACGTGCTAGGATGGGTTACCCAGTATTTCCTTTTACAATATTTTCCCATCATCAGTTTTGTTTTAATTCTACATAGTTGTTGGTTTTGTCTTTATTTTTTTTAATTTATTCTATTTTAATTTTATGTGCATTGGTGTTTTGCCTGCATGTATGTCGGTGTGAGGGTGTCAGATCCCCTGGAACTGGAGTTACAGACAATTGTGAGCTGGGAATGGAACCCAGGTTCTCTAGAGGAAAAGCCAGTGCTCTTAGCCGCAGAGCCTTCTTACCTCTCCAGCCTCCATTCTGGGTTTTCACTCTGTGTATTCTTTCACAGAGTTTCAGAGTACACCCTAATCCACAAACACAACTTCACGGTGCCTCTGTGCAGTTTAGGAGACTTGAGGGGAGCTCTTGCAGCCTTTGACATTGCCGTTCTAGTGCAGGAAGGACTCAATCCTTCTGAGGGCTACTGGGTATAATGAACACTAGAGGGCTCCCCACTCACAGACTGAAACCCTAACCTAACCAAACCAAGCAAACCATAATAAAAAACCAACAGACCAATGGTGGCTAGGGACTTTAAAAACCTTCAACTATTGATTGACAGTCTTCCAATGTTTCTTGTCTTACTTAATTGTCATAACAGCATAAGATGGGTATTCTTTGATTTTATTGATAAAGTGTGGCCTCGTAACCATCTGTCCACAAAGCTAAAAAAAAAAAAAAAAAAAAAAAAAAAAAAGAAGAAGGGGATCTGAATTCTTCAGGTTGACTTGATTTCAGAATCCTTGCCTTTCCCTATTTCAGAATACTATCCTGTATAGTACATAATACACAATGATGATGTATCTAGAATTATTTATTTTAAATTTATGTGTATGGAGGTTCTGCCTGTATGCATACGTGTACCTCATGGTACCTGCAGTATAACGAAGCCCCAGGGTGTCAAAGCCCCTGAAAACGGAGTCATACAGGGTTGAGAGCTGCCACATGGGTGCTGGGAATCAAACCCAGGTCCTTTGGAAGAGTAGCCAGTGTTCTTAACTGCTGGGCCATCCGTGCAAGCCTGAAACAAATACTTAAAAAGATAGAGAGAGTAAATTGAGACTAAGAAAGATGAAAAAGCTTGTCTAAATTCTCAGTAACAGTCCCCTGGTACTTTGTAATTCCCACAACACATGTAAGAAAGACACCAATCTTCAAGATACTCGTCGATTTAACTCTTCTAGCTCTCTTACAAATATGTATTCTTGTAATTAAGGCCATAAAGACTGTTGCTGGTTTGTTTGTGTTTGTTGTATGTGTGATGTGTGTTCATGTGTACAGGCACAGGCTGGGCACTCACATGGAGGTCACACAACAGCCTAGTCTCAGTCCTTGCCCTTCACCCTGTTTCCACTTCTTGTCTTGCTGTAGACGCACCACGATTACAGACATGTAGCACATGCAGCTTTATGTGGGTTCAGGGAATTGAACTCAGTGTTTGCAAGGCAAGCACTTTAACCAGTGAGCTGCTCTCCAGCCCCCAGATTATACTTAGGAATGATCAAAGCATCTCCTATTTAGCAACATAGCTAACAATAAGGGTTACATGTAGTATAGTTAAGAGTGAGACTTGGTTCGAATCCTGCCTCAGTCACTATCAGTCTGACTTTCTACATGTTATATAGAATACATATATAACATGTATATTATATAATATAAAATTACATAATATATTATGCCATATAACTATAGTATATATTGTATATTATATAATATGTGATTACATAATACATATTGTGTACACTCTATAATATTCATAGTATATAGTATATAGGCTTTTCTCTTTCTTCACTTATAAAATGAAAAGAATAAGACTCCTTGCCTTACAGGATGGACTAGCAAGGCAGTCAAAAGTTAATAATCTTGCCAGGTGTGACGATGCATGCCTGTAACACCAGCACTTGTTAGGTGAAGGGACAAGTATCAGGGGTTCAGACTGTCCTTAGCTACACAGTAACTTCAAGACCAGCGTAAACTGCATAAGGCCCAGGCAGTGGTGGGCGGCGCACACCTTTAGTCCTGCAGTGGAGGGAGGCGGAGGCGGGCAGATCTCTGTGAGTTCGAGGCCAGCCTGCTCTACAGAGCAAGTTCCAGGACAGCCAGAGCTACCCCGAGAAGCCCTGTCCAAAAACCAAGAAAACAAACAGAAACAAATAAATAAGAACAAACAAACAAAGACCCAGTCTCAACTCCTACCCTCCCCACAGAACAAACAAATAAAATTAGAAGAAAGCCTATCATGTTGCCAAATACAGAGTGACAAGTGCCACCTGCTCAGGAGGCTGACATGAAAGTAACCCTTAACGCCAGAGTTTGAGCCCATTCTGGGCAATTCAACAAAGCACTTTCTTAAAGAGACAGCTCTAGAGAGCAAGACTGGAAGTGGGATAGGTGGGAAGAAGGAGAAAAGACAGACAAGAAGAGAAGCAAAGGAAAACAAATTCTAAGTACATATTTAAAAGCTAGGCTTGGGACCCAGCACAGCCCTATAATACCAGCGCTAGGGAGGTAGAGGTAGAGGATTAGACCATTCTGGGCTGCAGCAGCTGGGCCTGGCTTGGTGGTGCACAACTTTGATAGCAGCCCTCAGGAGGCAGAAGTAGGCAGATCTTTGTAACTTCCAGGTCGCCTGTGGTTATATAGTGAGACCCTGTCTCAAAAAACAAAAACAAAAACAAAAACCAGAGTTCTAGAGTTCTAGACTTCCTGGATGTGTATCCATACTCCTAGCTGCGTGGTTTGGGCACAGTGATCTCTCTGGACCCCCTTGCCTATGTAATGAAACAGCTAATGCCGTAAAAGGTTCTTACAGAAATATAAAGGGCTCTGACACATAGCCAACACAGAACAAATATCTGATGATTTAAAGGAGATGCATAAAATGGAGAGGTGGTTCAGGAGTTGAGAGCACCTACTACTCTTGCAGAGGATCTTAGTTCAACTCCTAGCACCCACATAGTAGGGCAGTTCATAATTGCCTGTTAACTCCAGCTCCAGGGACTTTTGTGCCTCTGGTCTCTGAGGACACCTGCATTCACATGAACACACCCACTTTATAGACACACATACACACAAAATTAAAAATAAATAAATGAGATGAATTTTTTAGAAGCAGATGCATACTAACTTTTCTTGCTACACGGTAGCCCAGACTGGCCTGGAATTCAGTTCTCCTGCCTCAACCTCCCCAACGCTGGGATTCCAAGTATATACCACCACACCTAGTCATAGTAAAACTATGTTTTAATTTAAAACTGTTTTAATTTTATGCAAATGGTGTCTTATCTGCATGGGCACCACACACATGGCCAGAAGAGGGCATGAGATTCTCTGGAACTGTAAGTTACAGACTGTTGTCAGCCACTGTGTGGGTGCAGGAAACAGAACTTGAGTCCTCCGCAAGAATAAGAGCTCTTAATCCCTGGCCCACCTGTCCAGTCCCCATAATAACCTTTAATTTCTGCTACTATTCTGTGAGTCTTGGAAAAGAGGGCTCTGAGTCACTAGGGGAGAGCTGCTAAAACTTTGGAGCCATGTCAGTGGACACTAGAATTGGCAAATCAGTAACAAAGGTGAGCTCTCGGACTCAGGAAATAGGAATCCCAGGAGTTTTCCCCGTGCTTTGCGCTAGTCTGTGCAGCACCTACCGGGAGTGGAACTTAGCAGCTTGATCCTCTATTTGAGGTGAACTTTCTCCCTCAGTCTATGTAGTACAATAGTTCTCAACCTGTGGGTCATGACTCCTTTGAGGCTGCATATCAGATATCTGCATTATGATTTGTAACAGTAGCAAAATTACAGTTAGGAAGTAACAACAAAATCAATTTTATGGTTGGGGTCATCACATGAGGGTCGCAGTGTTAGGAGGGTTGAGAACGGCTGCTCTAGGGCAGTGGTCCTCACCAGGAAGCAGTTCTATGCAGAGGACATTCAGCAATATCTGGAGACATTTCTGGCTGTGACAACTGGAGCATACTGCTCTCATCCGGAAGCAGGGTACCAGGGATGCCACTGAGCATCACACACTAACTGCAAAGGACAGCCCCTCACCAAAACCATTTTCCCACCCAGTGTCAGCATTCCGGGGTGAGCCCTGCTCCAGGGATGAGTAGCCCTTTCTTGGCTTAACAGGGTGTACGTGGAATCTGGGGATGTGGGACAAGGTGCCAGGGGACCATGGAGACTCTAACTCATAGAAAGGGAGCTTCCCCTCAGCTACCAAAACGCAAAGAACAAAAACCAGTCAACTTCTTCATATGCTATATTTCATTAATAAATAGGTTTTCTTCTTTAAACACAGAACATATAACAGATTGAAGCATTTCCCCCCTCCCCCCAATTCCAAAGACAAGAGTCTATAAAACAAATGCCAACTGTACCGCCCTGAGGGCAGGAAAGTCTGGTGACCCCCATCAGTCCTGCCCCTGCAGCACCACCACCCCCACATTCTGCAAGAGAAGGGGGTCTGGGGCTTCTCCCTTGGGCCCTGGGGACTTCAATGAGAAGCGTGTGAATGTGTGATGTCATCTCTCCATGACTCATGGGCTATGCAAAGATGAGACTTCCTTGTTCGCTCTGATCAGCCCTCGCCTTCCTGGTTTCCTTTATGAAGCACCTGGGCTAAGCCCCCAAGGGAGCTCCTCTGGGCTTTCCAATTCTCAGGTCCACTGCCACTTCTTAAAGGGGAAGAGAGGGGCTCAAGGACGCCTCCTATCTCAGCCTGCATGGGAACGCTGTGTGGACAGGCATGATGCTGAAGGTGAGGCCAGCATGTCCCCATCTCCCCAGCATCCTTCCCTCCTCTGGAGTGGGGGGACACTGGGGCGGCTACCCCCTCCACAGCCTTGCACCTGGCTTGGGTGTGATGGTTCTTGCTGAGTGTCAGGCCCTCCTGCCGGGCCTGGCATCCTCTCCAGTCCCATTTCTATCTCCTGCTAAAGCCCTCACTGTGGCCATCTGAAAAAGTCACATCCAATGTCTTAGACTGTCTCATCCTCCCTCTCCCCGTGCCTCTGCACCCCAAGGGAGGAAGTGGGGGGCAGCCTCCCCCCGCCTCCGGCTCCAACTTCACATGATGGAACAGCTTTTGGCCTTTTCCTTCTTGAACGTAGAAGAGATGAGTTCAGAACGACTGGGGAGGTGGAGTAGTCGCTTCGAGAGGCTGCGGGCAGGGCTCTTGGGAGGCACTGGGCTGGGCTTGTTCAGACACAGCATGGATGCCATCCGGAAGATGCTGTGGATGCTCTTCTCAGAAGTGAAAGCCGAGCCCTCCAGGTAGATCTCTGCGCCCAGCTGCTTGGCTATCGCACAGCCCTGTGGGAAGGGTGCTGTCATTAATGCAGTGGCCTAAAAGGCCTAGGAAACACCCAGGCATTCCTCAGGGCTATCCCAGATGACACCCCATTGCCAGCTTTCTACCACCAGCCTTTGCCAGTATTCCTAAACGTGAAGCCTGGCTGTCCTCTAGAATCACCTATAACATTTTTAAACAGTGAACTGATGCCAAACCAGGTACAGCAGGGTGTCTGGGAAGGCACAGGTGTTAGGTCTTAGGTTTTGGTGTCAGCGCAGGGCTGCAGGCACACTAACCATGAGCTGAGCCACACCCTAGCCTCAAAATTAGCATTTAAACACTTTAAAAAATACATTTATTTCATGTGCGTGTCCTTACGACTATGCATGTGCTCAGGCCACCGCATCCATGTGGAAATCAGAGGACAATTTGTGGAAATTAGTTCTCTTCTCCCATGTGGGTCTCAGGGATCAAACTCAAGTTATCAGGCCCCATGGCAAGGGCCCTCACCCCCTAAGCCATTTCACCAGCTCCCCGATGTTAGTGGTTTTAGGAATCCCCCAGATGATTCTAATAAGAAACATTAGCAAATAGTCTTACGCTCCCGTGTACACTAAAAATTACCCCTGGGGCTGGTGAGACAGCTCAGCAAAGAAAAGCACTTGTCACCAAGCTTGACAGCCTGAGTTCGATCCCAGAAACCCCTGTGGTAGAAGGAAAGAACTAACTCCTGAAACTCCACATGTTGGCATGGCATAATTACATATCACCCTTGTTATAAAACGCAGATTTCCATATCTTTCTCCAAGAGTTATTTTATAGGCATGAAACCCAGAATTCAAAATTCTAACAATTACTTCTTTTTGTTTGTTCATTTTAATTTGGTTTTGGTTTTTTGAGACTGAGCCTTATTATGTAGCCAGGAGGGCCTCAAACTTGGAATCCTTCTGCCACCACCTCCTGAGTTCTGGGAGTGCAGACTACATCCAGCTCTAACAAGCATCTTTAATGTGTCTGGTGCATATGGTTTACAAAAAAAAAAAAAAAAAGTTAAAAATTGTGGCACACACACAGGAGACGCTCTAAGGCTAAACTACAGCAGGACTCTAAGTAGACAAGTTCCTCCTACCCCAGCCTCTTTTGCTGTTTATAGCTAGCCCCCCAAGACCGGTTCTATCTTGTCACATAGAAAGAGTTTAATCAAGAGTCATATCTCAAGCCCTCAGCCACAGCCTTCTCCACCCCGCCCTCCATCGTACCCTCACACACACACGCGTGGATGTGCACACATACCTGCTCATAGGAGATGGGTGCCTGCTTCTGGTGGGACAGTTCCATTAGAGTGCTCAGGTCTGTTCGAAGATCTGTCTTGCAGCCAATAAGCAAAACCCGTGTGCTGGGACAATAGTCTAGGATTTCTGTTCTCCACTGAGTGTTGGAGCGAAGGGAAAAGGAAGGGAAGTCAGTGGCAGACATACAGGAGAGTCCAGCTGGCAACACCCAGCACACCGCTCAGATCCTCAGCTCTCAGCCCTCCCTGTGAGTCACAGCATCTCTGCTGCACTAATTACATCATCTTCCTGCCCAGGAGGCCTTTGGTGGCACCAGTGTGATAACCCAGAGCCAATCCCTTCAGTCACCAAAGAGCACAGGGCGCATCTCCCACTCCCTGCCAGAGGAGGCATGGGTCTGCCTTCTTTCCCCAGGTAGAGGGCAAACAACCCCTGAATGCCAGTTGAGGGGAGTGAGGCAATCTCTCCCTGAGGAGCTGGGAAAGACCACAGTGTTTCCTGTAGGCAGACTGCTGCTTCTACCAGCTGTTGAGCTCTGACTGGCCTGACTCAGTGGGCCCAGGATCACTGTCCACAGAAGCTGCTCCCAAGAGCAGCTTCTCCATTCCTCAGGCTACCAAAAGCTTCTCTGAGCCTTCAGCATGCCCCTGCCCCCAAGCTAGGCCTCTGGGAAAGTAGTATAGGGTAAATAAAAACAGAAAGCTAAAGGGAAGGAGACCCAGGGCCTCCTAATGGTGAGGCCTCAAGCAAACAATTCTTTCCTGGCTGGTAGACAGGAGGATTGTGGGACAAGGCTCCTTCTTATTCTTTTGTTTTGTGTTTTTGTTTGTTTGTTTGTTTGTTTTTGAGACAGGGTTTCTCTGTGTAGCCTTGGCTGTCCTGTAAGTCACTCTGTAGACCAGGCTAGCCCCACCTGCCTCTGCCTCCTAAGCACTGACATTAAAGGTATGCACCACCACCCATCTGCTCCTCTTGTTCTTCTGGGTAGAAACTATATATTCTCGCTCCCCCATTCTGGGTGTTGAACCCAAGGCCTAGCTTATGCTAGGGAAGTACTCTCTATCAACTAAAATTCATCCTTGGCCCTATTTTATTTTTATTTGGAGACAGGGTCTCACTAAGTTGCCTGGTCTTGAACTGGCTCCATAGCCCAAGCTGAACTTGAACTTAAGATCCTCCTGCTTCAGCACACATGCACACATGCGCGCGCACGCACACACACACACACACACACACACACACACACACACACACACAAAGAGCTAAGATTCCAAGCACGTGTCTCTAACCTAGCCTTACCTTCTTGAGTGCGCTATCCATCGTCTCTGGACGGCTGATGTCAAAGCACAGTAATACAGCATCTGAGTCACTGTAGCAGAGTGGACGGACATTGTCATAGTAAGGAGAGCCTGGCATAAGGGGAGAAGAGCTGAGAGTGAGCCATGCCATCTTCCCTCCTCTGTAGGCCTAAGCCCAGGGATTCCCTGGGGAATGTAATTCTTGATCCCCTAGCATCCAGCATGTCTAGGGCATAGTGCTACTGTACAGAAGCTTGGGGTATGCCCACATGCCAGAAAACTAGTCAGAAACACCATTTCCCTTGCTCCTAAAAGAGGGGAAAGCAAAGGGGGCAGCTCTCACTCTGAACATGTCTGAGTTCCCTCCAGTGGGTCTAACTTAAGACTGACTCATATCCAGAGTCCCAGGGGAGGCTGCCAGAACCTATGGGGAGACAAGCATTTGTTTCGGGTTTCTTCTACGTGAGCCTGCCTGCTGCCCAGCCTCTGTTCCATCCTTCTTCTCTAGGGTCTCCAACGAAGAACCAGTCCTGCCTGTTATATAACTGGCTGCCCTGATTCTTTACCTCCAGGTCAGAACTTCAGGAGGTTGATGGGGGAGGGAAAACACCCTCCCAGGATTTGGTATTTTACTCTGTTATCCCCCCCCCCCCCAAGTAGGCTTACACTGAAGAGGGCAAAGGGAATACTGTAGCTCCCACCCCTCAGCTCTCAGGAGGCAATCTCAGACAGGGAACACCAATAGCTGTGGAGTTGGAAGCTAGAGCAAGGATCCTCCGTGGAGGGGAAGAAGGCAGTTCAGGCCCAGGGTCTGATGGGGTGAAAGCTAGGAGCTGAGCCTAGCCCCCTCCACCCTGAGGAAGGAACAGTAGCAGATTTGGAATCCAGACAATCCGTGCTTAGAATAGCAAGCAGCCCCTCTCCCTGTACTGCAATCACCATGGAAACTGGGGGGAATCCAAGCTGAGGTGGGGGTGTCCGTCATAAAAAAGAAGTAAGGGGGAGTTGGGATAGCTGGTGCTCCTTCAGCAATCCACCCCCATCTCTTACTGAGGTGAGGTGGGGGTTGGACCACAACAGCACTGAGGCAGGGTAGCTCTGCCGGTATTAGGGGAGGGGGAGGGGAGGAGGTCTCCATTTTGGCTCCAAGCAATCCCCCTCCCCTAAGAGCAGCAAGTGAATAACAGAAACAGATTTAACCCTGGCCCCAAGGTAGAGAAGCTCCATCCTGCACATCACTGTCATTTCTCTGTCCTTACAGGAACCGGACTTTAGAGAAGAATAACGGATTCCCTCCATCATTTTGAAACAAGGGGTAGTGGTGGCCTGGGGTACGAAGACCACACTTGCTGATTTTCCATTATGTGGCTGGGGATTCAAGGCTGTGAGGGGAGGGGGAGCAGGGAGGGTGGTAATGAAAAGAGATGAGCCGCAGCAAGGTTCAGGGACGACTGGAAGGTGGGAGGGTACAGCAGGGGGAAAACCATATATCATCCAGCCACGCTGAATTCTATGTCCGGCCAGCATGGCACAGTCTAGAAGAACCAGAACCCTGTCTCCCCTCTCCTGAACTGCCACAGGAACCAGCCTGAGGAATTTTGGTTCTGGGGAGAGCGCAAGAAGTATCTATCATTTTCTGCCTACCATTCCCTACCCCCAGTCTTCCCACATCTCAAAATTGGAGAAGAGAACAAGATTCCTTCAGAGAAGTGGGGTGACATATTTCCTGCATCCAGACATGCAGGAAAGCCTTAGTGATTTACGGTCTCTCTTTAAACTCAGCTTAAGCATATAGAAAAAAAAATATTGGTAAGCATGGATTTTCTTTTCTTTCTCATATTGCTGGCTCTTAATCTTTATGTCTGAGACAGACTGTTAGGAGGAGGGACTGGGGTACAGAGGGTGGGAAGGGCTCAGAAGCAAACGTTAGCTGAGCTCTAAGGGCTTGGAGGCGGAGAGTGGGAAAGACATTTCTGAGAGACAGGACATCTCCACCTCAGCCCAGCACAGGGAGACATGATAGGAACTAAACCCCATGCCCTCTGCTGGACACTAACCCAGCGTGGCCATGCCCTACATTCCCAGTCTCCCCCACCCTCCAAAACACGGATGATGCATGGCTTCATCTCGGAGCCGCAGCCTCTGAGTTGCGGCAAGCAGACAGCAGTGGCCTGAGAGGGAATGCGGGAGAGTGATATTCCCTCCAAAGCCGCGGGTGTCTCTCTGCCCCACCACCGCTGCCCGCCCGCCCGAAGCAGCTCCTTCCTCCTGCCTCTCCTTTAGGATATGGGGGGGCGGGGGGAGAGGACCTGTCTGGTGCTCCCTGGGAGTACTCCAGGGCCCCTTTACCCGGCATCCCAGCCCTCTGAAAAATGGAACTAGACCAGACCCCCGCGTGGCTCCCAGGTCTGTCTCCTGGGTCACCTCAGAGCATCGATGGCCTAACCAAAGGGTCTTTCCATGCCTTCTTTTGGTTTCCTGGCGAGCACCTCTATCCTCAAAGGCGGATTTCCTCCATCTAAAAAAGCAGCAACTGCAGCTAGGCAGTGGAGGCGGGATGGAGCCTTTGGGGTGCGCTCTTACCTGAGGTGTCCCAGAGACTAAGCTCCACTCTCTGCTCCTCCGTCTCCAAACAGGCTGTGTAATTCTCAAACACGGTAGGCACGTAGGTCTGTGAGCAGAGAGGGAACGTTCACACCTGGGCACACGTGCCCTCATAACCCTACCCCTAGTGCTGGCTACACAAGAGGCCGCTCACACATGCGCTGAAACCCTGAGGTGTCAGATGATGAGGAGCCAGAGCAGAGGCTACGTGGGGGGGCTGAAGAGGTACTGGCCTTCGCGCCCCATCCTGGCTGGTCTGAGACACGCACATCCACCTTTTCCTCCCATCCCTAGACTCGTGTCCCATTTTTCGGAGCCACAAGCCCATTCTAACCTCTGTCTCCTGCCCTCTAGTCCCTTGGCACAGGTGATCAGCCGAAGCGGTAGAAGCCTGGCGGGGCCACCCTCCCAGAACCTTACAGGAGGGCAGGCAGGTACTGCGTCAGGAATACAGCCCGGGCTCTGGAGCCTCCGGGTCTCGGGGATGAAGGCAAGTGGGAGGGGATGCGATGGGGAAGGAGGTGAGGAGGAGCCGGCCGGGCGGCAGAAGTGGGTCAGGTCTCGGGGGAAGCACGGCAGGGCAGTCCTCCAGCCCGAGGCGAGGCGAGGCGAGGCGAGGCGAGGCGGGGAGGGGCGGCGGGGTGGCGGAGCCCGCGCTCCGGGCAGGCGGGAGCCGAGCGGGCCGGCGGCCAGCTCACCTCGGGATAGCAGTCTTTCGCTAGCACCTGTAACATCGCCGTCTTCCCACACTGCACGTCGCCCACCAGCACGAGCTTACATCTGACCACCACCGGCTGCGGCGCCCGTCTCTCCTTCATAGCTGCAGCCCCGGAGGGACGTGGACTCGGGTTCAGCGAGGAGGCGGGCTCGCGAGTGTCCGCACGGGCGACCAGCTCCCGCTTCCCCGCCTGCCTCCGACTGAGGCGGAGGCCGGCGAGGCCCCCTTATATGTTCCAGACAGAGCCAATCACAAGAGGAGGCGGACTCTGCCGGAGCCAATCGCTGAGGTGGGATCCCCTGCGGCAGCCAATAGCAGGCGGCTCTGAGTCAGCGCCCTCGGCCTCCCTCCCCTCTGTTAAAGCTGCACCGCTGCCTCCTTCTGGAGGGGGATCCCCATGCTTTCCCAGTTGCTGGTAGGAGGTCGGGAGCGGACTGGGAGTAAAGCTAAGCGATCTCTGAGTGTCCACGCGTTAGTGTCGAGACCCGGAATGGGCTATGGAATCAGAGAGCGATGGCTGCTGGGGTCCGTGCCAGGAAGACAGCAGGACCTGACTACACTATGGACAGGTGGCATCTCTGGGGCGAAGGTGGCCCCAGAGACCCCTGACTCCTTAATTCTGTATAGTTCCTATCCACGCCGGTTCCAGTTCTGGCGTCCCCTCCCAACAGAAGCTCCGACTGCCGCTCTTTTACAGCCCAACTCCCTTCCTCAGGGGTTACCTCCGCCAAAACAAATCAAGAAAACAGAACACAGCCCCTGCCCCAGAGCTAGGAGGACGGAACAGATGAGGGAGTCCCACAAGGCAGGGATAGAGGAGGGAAAGGCCGAACAAGCTGCTCTCTGCTCTCAGTTGACCCCGGGAGCCTCCTCACCCCAGGCCAAGGTGTTTTGTTCTGCGGCCTGACTTCAGCTTCCTGGATGAATCAGGTGCAGGTCTACCTCCAAGGTGATGCCAACCGATCTGACGCACTAATGTGTGTCACCTGGTGAAAGTCCAGCTGGGCTCCAGGGTCTGGGCCTCAGGAATTAGAAACCGGAAGACAATCTAAAATAGGGACAAGCTACAAACTGCATCCTGGCTGTGGCCTTCAGAGCCTCCATGGCCTCTGCGGACCCCTCTATTAGACAGAAATATGAAGCCACAGAGCTCATGTAAGTCACTGGCTACCTGGCAACTGAAGAAGTCCCATAATGCCTCCAGGGAACTGGGGACCAGTTTGGGGCAAACCTAGAAGAGCCTGGGTGACATCTCCCGCCTTTCTTGTGTTGGTTTGGTTTATTTTTGAGATGGGGCCTCACACTGGAACTCACTGGAACAGCCCAGGATGCAGCCTTCCTGCCTCAGCCCTCCATCCTGAAGTTACAGTGGGGACACCAGCCCTGGCTCAGCTTGTCTTGTACTTCCTTCATGATGACAGGCCTCACTTCTGGAATAAGACTGAGTCTCCATCTCCCTGCCCCCCCCCCAGGCTTTACCCATAAGTCACAGTCATTGCTTCCCACCCAAGGACATTTGTCCTAAATAAAGAGCCCTTCAAAGGATTTCCAGGCCCTATGGACATATGTCTCTAAGAGTAAAACACCCAAGGTAGGTGCGGTGACGCACACCTTTAATTTCAGCGCTCAGGGAGGCAGAGGGAGGCAGATCTCTATGAGTTCAAAGCCAGCCTAGTCTACAAAGCAAGTCTGGGATAGTCAAGGCTACACAGAGAAATTCTATCTGGAAAAACCAAAGGGAAAAAAAGTAAAACCCTCACAGTAACAGAGAATGGAGATTATCTGGGAAATGCAGTAGGCTCACAGGCCGTCTACCCTCTGTCCATCTCCTGCCCATCCCTCCCAGGGATGGAGTCAGAGAGGGCACCTCCAGGGCAGAAGGGATCATCCAGGGCTACCTCTGGTGCTCATCCCCTTCCCAAGGCTCTCTGGGAGTTTCTTCATCTTACCTTTCTCCACTCCTTGTCCTCAGTCTTCATAGACGCTTTCATCTGTGGAATCCGTCCTCTTTTGCCCTTGCAGCATCCTGGCAGCTTCTGAACTGCCCATAAGTGTGGTTTGGAAGAGTTCCAGAACAGCTGGAGACTGTCTCCACCCGGTGTCCTTGCCCTCAGCTTGACCACCCCTGGCTCACCTGGACAAAGTGTCCACAGGTTCCTGTGTGTCCCCTTAACCCTTAACCAGGTTTCCTCCAGCTACAACTCAAAAGGTTTTCTCCATGTTCTTTCCCAGCCTCTCCCTACACACACACACACACACACACACACACACACACACACACACACTCTCACTCACCCACCCCTGCACACACCCATCAGCCACTCATATAAATATTCAGTACAGGTAACCCTGCTCATGCCCTGCAGATGGCTGCTTCTGGCTTCTAACAGGGTTGCCGTTCTGAGCTGCTCTGGCACTGACGTCCTGGGAGTGGGGGCCAACCCTGATTCTTTCTGCCTGACCACATCTCACAGCCAGCAGCAAGATCTGCAATAGAGCAAGTTTCCACCGTGGCTGTCTCCAGAGGTGTCTCCAAGCCTGCCAGCTTTAATCCCAGCACTCTGGAGGCAGAAGCAGGTGGATCTCTGTGAGTCTGAGGCCAGCCTGGTCGACATACATAGTAAGTTGAAGGACAGCCAGAGGTACATAGTGAGACCCTTTCTCAAAGCAAAACAAAGGGACAGAAATTGTGTTTCTAAAGGTGTCCTGTGTGTGTTCAGCAGGCCTGAGTTATGGTCTGAGCTCTGTGTGTAATTTAATTAGAAAAGGGGTTTTGGACCTTTGCTTTGCAGCTAGCTTCCCTCCCCAACTTTCATTTTTGTTTGTTTGTAGGTTGTTTTTAGACATTTTCTCACCATGTAACTGGCTGGACTGGAACTGCATATGTAGACCAGGCTGTTTTTGTTGGGTTTTGAACCAGGGTCTCACTGTAGCTCAAATTGGCCTCAAATTCATAGCAGTTCTCCTACCTCTGTCTCCTGTAACTTGGATTCTATACCACGCCCAGATCTAATTTATATATATATATATATATATATATATATATATATATATATATATATATATTTACCGCCCTTCAGCTCCTACCTTTGCTTAAACCTCTTCAAAATGTCGTCATTTAAAACTCTGTAGCCAGAAAAACATGTTTAGAAGATGGACGTCCTCTGTCGAGACTTGGGACATTTAAAACAAGGTAAAAAGTGAAACCCTTAAACCAGAGCCGGACATGGGGACCCACGCCTTTAATCCAGCACTCAGGAGGAAGAGGCAGGCACGAAAGAAACCACTCTAAAAATACAACATATTATGATATATTTACATGAAATCTTCAAAACAGGTGAATCAGTGAGACAGAGGGGGAGCCGGGCAGTGAGAGGACTCAGCGAGTCAAGGCTCTTGCCACAGAGTCTAACTTGGGTTTGATCCCCCAGACCCACATGGTGGAGAGAGGGAAGAGACCCCGACCTCTGACCCACACAGTGCACAAACGTGCACACGAGCGCAATAGATAAGAACGTTGTGATAAAGATGTTAGAGGAAAGTGTAAGGAAGCAGATTAGAAGCTGCTGGGGTGGCCGGGTGGAGGGGAAGTGGAGGGCGATCACAAACCGGCCAAATCACACAGCCTAAACGGGCACACTGTTGCAGCATGTCTATTACAGCTTGAAGGAGCATGGTTACACGTAACGGAAGTTTCGGTTTGCTTAAAACCTCAGCGTTGTTATGTAAACATGCTTTTGCTATACTATCGAGTGTGGGGTTTTGGTTTGCCACAGCTGATAATTTCCTAGTGCAGGGGCGTGGTTTTTGCATCTGTTGCATTTGCTGCGTTTGCTGGTTTGCTGGTTACCTGGACTTTTGGATACCCTGACGACCAAGATTGGTACTGCCCCCAAAAGAATCCTACTACCCTACCCCCAGCAGCCCTCTTCTGAGCTAGGCGGGGACCAGACAAACGCACAGTGCACATACATACATGCAGGCAAAATACTCACACACATAAAACACAGTAACTTAAAAAATTAGCCAGGCCCCAAGTCTATACATCTCAGTGAACTTCTAAGCAGTTAGAGTAGCATTTGGTACAGAAGCTGTAGAGCTTCATATCGGATTTTACACTTTCACTATGGAATGTATTTTTAGATAGTTACCACTCTAAAATGAAAAATCCACGACAGAATCAGAACTAGGAAAACAATCTAGCGTTATATCCTTTTCATAACTCATGCCATTATCTGTATTCCGTCCTGTCACCTCCTCATGGTTATACTTAGCCTTTCTAGTTCTCTTTTCTGCACGTTACACTGCACACACACACACACACCTTTGTGTGTGTGTGTGTGTGTGTGTATATATATATATATATATATATAATATTCTGCCACACTCTGCATATGAAGGAGAACGTAACATTTTTCTTTCTGAGATCAAGTGGCCTCACTTACATACCAATTCCATCCATTTTCCTCCAGATTTTGTGATTAAATTTTTCTTTCGAGCTAAGTAGTAGTATTTTGTGTGTGGTTGGGTGGCGGGGGAGGGGATTCTGCAGTTACCTGTGGAGGTGAGAGGGTAGCCTGTGGGAGCTGGTCCTCTCTTTCTACTGTGGGTCCTGGGTACGGAAAGCAAGTTCTCAGGCTTGGTAGTGTGTTTCTTTATCTGCTGAGCCGCCTCAGCAGCCTGCAGCTTGTTTTCTTTTCTTTTGTTTTAAGAAACCAGGTTGATTGTTCCCCAGCATTCGGAATTTTGCTGATTGTATCTTCAACGGTGTCGTCATTTACAAGTTAAGGAAATTTTACCACTTAAACTCACAAGCTAATTCTTTAAAATGAATCTCATAAAGAGTCTTAAGACATAAAGCTAGAGATGAAACTTCTCTTAGCTGAGTGAGAACTGGGGTGCTCCGTGGGGCTCATTCGGCCCCTACTCTCTTCAAAAGGACAAACCCCAGGGAGCACAGTTTAAAATCACTAACCATGAATAATATTAGAGGGAGAGGGAGAGAAAGAACGTGGAGACACCATGTGCTCAAAGCTTAGAACTGTCTTTATCTTTTTTCCGGGTCTGATTACTCTGATAAGTTCCCATTCTGGGACAGAGGCATAACACACAGAGCTGTTCAGGGCAGTAGCAAATTACAGTTCACCCTGACTTTCCCAGAGAGTGCGCAAGCACAGCACCTTTCCATCCCTA